CCTGGTGAGACGCGGGGACCCGAACGGGGGGGGGAACCGGGGGCAGTGGCAGTAGGGGGGGCTGCTGGTGCGGCCGCTGGTGCTGCTGCTGTTGCTGCTGCGGTTGCGGCTGCTGCTGCTGCTGCGGCTGCTGCTGCGGCGCACGCGGGCCAGTGTGAAGAGTGTAGAGACCCAAGCCCGGCTCAGCAGTAAAGGTAGCAAGAGGCTGGTAAGAGTCTCCGTCAACACACACCGCAGTCTCTCCAGAAGGCTCAAACCACACACCCACGTGCTGACTCACGAGGGGTCGCACGCCCACCAAGTTCCGGGAGAACGAGGGGACGTGAAACCCAGTGAGAGACCCGGAGGGAGCAGCAGGACACGGTAAAGTGGTAGTGTGACGTGCAGTGACTGGTCCCGTAGTGGGATCAGCCAACGCTACAGAAACAGGCGCAGGAAGTGGTGTAAGTGTCGTGCTGTCCCGGAAGAAGCAGTGGGAGGCTCCAGAATCCAGTGTGAACGACAGCGAAGCGTCCTCTGAGGTAGTCGCTGGTCTAGAGTCTACACAAGTACCTACACTAGCAACAGGCAACTGAGCAAGACTAGCACCTAAGCTAACAACACCAGAGTAAACAGAGTCAGAAACACTAGAGTCAACAACAGCATACATAGCATGAGGAGCACTAATCAGATCAACTAACTGCTCAGCAGACATGCCCCACAGAGCGGAGCCGTAGCGCTGAACCAGAGGAAGCCAGTCAGGAGCAGGACCGCCAACCCCGTAGGTCAACCGGACCGTGTGAGTGAGCTGAGCAAAGCACTGACCAGGGGGGTGAAAGCGGCCACAAGGGTGGCCCCGACGAGGACCTGTCTGAACCTGGTAGGGGCAGGGAGGGTAAGCAGCACCGCGCTGGGGCTGACGCAGCCCCGACCCCGGAGCCAGCTGCTGACGCTGCTGCTGCTGAGGCTGCTGGGAGGAAAGGGGCTGCTGCTGCTGCTGAAGGTGCTGCTGACGCTGAGCCTGGTACCACGCCGCTGCTCCACCTAGCGGGGCCGGCAGTACAGGAGGCGACTGACGAGCTCGAGGGTCGCCGCCACCAGCAGGTGCAGTGGAGTCACCAGCCGCTGCACGAGGGGTCTCTCCAGACGCTGCACTCCCACCACCGCCAGTCGCAACAGCACCCCCACTACCTCCGCTACCTCCGCCTCCACCTCCACCGGAACCACCTTTCTTGCCCCCCCTGCCGCGGGACCGCGACGCAGTCGTAACAACAGCCGCAGTCGCGTCAGTAGCGGCAGTGGCAAGAGAGGTAGTGAAGGTGGGTAACTGCGGGACTGTGCACCCGTGGAAGAGTGGGGGGGGCACAGTACCAGAGGCGGCAGCTACCGAACGAAGGTTGCTCTCGACGTCCTTGAGTGCAGACTCAAGGACCTCGATAGTCAGCTCACTAGGGTGCTTCAGCAGAAGCGCGTCACGAACGGAGGCAAGGCGGTCAGGGAGGCTAGTGGCGATGAAATAGACAGTAATCGCCATGGGGGGAGGAAGCAGTGCAAGCTGTGCCTCAGTGCAAGCAGCGCGGTAACTAGCGTCGAGCGAGCGGAGGTGAGCGATCAAGTCAGCAGAGCGCTCAAACGAGGCAAGATCAGGAAACAGGAACGGGAGGAAAAGACGGCCAAGAGAGACAGTAGCGGGAGTAGAGTAGCGGGCCTTAATCGCAGTGAGGTACGCAGCAGCGGTGCGAACCTGAGTAAAGTGGACCTCCTCGGACTCAGGGAGGAGGCTGCTGAGTGCGATGCAGGCCGCAGCGTCACGCGACGTCCAAGCCGTCCGGTCAGCGGGCTGACGGGCAAAGCGAGCCGTAGCAGCGTCGTCAGGAGCAGGGCCTAAAGCTGTAGGCTCGGGGGGCTCGGGGAGGTCACCAGTAGCGTGTGACCAGAGGGTCTCGCCCCCCTGGACCTGACTCTCTAACAGACGGCGAGCGCGAAGAAGCCAGACGGAAAAGTCAAGGGGTCTACCGTCGGCGTCGAAACGAAGAACTCGCGGAGTCGCCATAGTGAGAACTAACGCGAACGAACAGGCGAGTAACAACCGGGGGGAAGAGGACTCAGTTGCAGCGGAAGAGCGGGCTAGGGCGACGGGCCAAGACGTAGGGTAGGGCAACGGGCCAGGGCTTAGGGAGGCGACGGGCCAGAGTCTGGGGTAAGGCGACGGGCCAGAGCTTAGGGAGGGCGACGGGCCAGGGTCTGGGGTAAGGCGACGGGCCAGGGCCTAGGGAGGGCGACGGGCCAGGGCCTAGGGAGGGCGACGGGCCAGGGCCTAGGGAGGGCGACGGGCCAGGGCCTAGGGAGGGCGACGGGCCAGGGCCTAGGGAGGGCGACGGGCCAGGGCCTAGGGAGGGCGACGCGACGGGGGAAAGGGCGGGAGCGACGCGACGGGGCAGGGCGACGCGACGGGACAGGGCGACGCGACGGGGCAGGGCGGCGCGACGGAGCAGGGCGACGGGACAGGGCAGGGTGACGCGACGGGGTAGGGCGACGCGACGGGACAGGGCGACGGGAGAGGGCAGGGCGACGCGACGGGACAGGGCGACGGGACGGGGGGGGTAACAGGCGGGCGCGACGCGACGGGGGGAACGGGTGCGACGCGACGGGGGGGAACGGGCGCGACGCAACGGGGGGAAAGGGCTCGGCGCGACGGGTGGGGAAGAGCGTGACGCGACGGGGGAGATGGCGCTAGGCTCGGTACTAGGCGCGGTAACAACGAAACTGGTACGAACGAGAGGTAGGATCAGGCTCGGGAGGTACGAACGGAGAACGGAGGAACGGGATCCCACAGGATCCTAACCTAGCTGATACCATGTCAGAATGAGGAATGGATGATTCATTGATGTTGGTTGGGGTACATATAACAAACCCTAACTTCTGTACCCCCTAAGACAAACCTCACTACAGGCTACAACATTTGACAGTCAGTTGGGAAAAACTGAGTAGAACAAGATAGGCTTTCAACAGGATACCTAGTAGCAGAAACTGACAATGACTAGGTAACAGGGTATCTTGGCGAGCTGGAGAGTTACTTCGTGGTTCAGGGCAGTGAGAAGCGGTTCAGTAAGGTATTGAACTCATGACGTGATACATGTGTCAAGAACAGATCACATTGTACACCAGCCCTCTTTGACTTAGAATCTCAACAAAACAAATACCATACATGTTGTGCAATCCCCTCTATGCATACAAATCTGCCCCATCGTCATTTGAAAACCCATACCTCCACGTCTGTTGTTGCTGCTGCTGCTGCTCCAGCTGCCCCTGGTGCTGATGACGGTACTGCGGATGATGGGGCTGCTCTACTAGCCCCAAAGTTCCTGCAGCAGTGTGTGCAGCTTCCATCATTGCCATCCTGTGAATAATCCCAAGAGCAATTGTTCGGGAACGCTGATGGTGGCCCCTGGCGTGTGAACCATCACCTGAAAATTCACCTGAGGGTGAATATGAATCATCAGAAACGATATCGTCAGAAACGACCCCAAATCCTGATGGTTCAAGTTGGCCAGCTACACATGACATGGGTGGACTGGCAAGGGCAAGATAAGCCATGTCATGACATGATGTGGCATGGCCTGACATGTCTTGGCATGACGTGGCATGGCCTGACGTGGCATGGCCTGACGTGGCATGGCCTGACGTGGCATGGCCTGACATGGCATGGCCTGACCTGGCATGGCATGTCGTGGCATGGCCTGATGTGCCAGGGCACGATGTGTAATGGTAATTCTCGGTGTAGAGAGGTGATTCATCATGGTATGCTTCATCCTGGCATGATGTGTCGTGGCAAGTTGGCTGCAGCTCTGCGGTATTGTGTGGTGGAGACAGGTACGGAGGATCGAGGTAGCTTGTATGGAGGATGGGGAAAGAGGCAGGTGCATAGGATATGGGGCCAGCCGTCATTGCTTCAGCTGCTGCTGCTGCTCTATATGCAGTCAAAGCCAGGGGGCCCCTTCCTTGGTGTGGCGAATAGGAGGAGAGATTTGCGGAAGGTGTGGGTTGGTCATGGGGCGACTTGGGCAGCTGCTGTTGCTGCTGTTGCTGTTGCTGATGCTGCTGCTGTTGCTGTTGCTGTTGCTGTTGCTGCTGCTGCTGCTGCTGTTGCTGCTGCTGTTGCTGCTGCTGTTGCTGCTGCTGTTGCTGCTGCTGTTGCTGCACATGTTGTTGCTGTTGCTGTTGCTGTTGGTGCTGCTGTTGCTGCTTCTGCTGCTGCTGTTCCTGCTGTTCTTGCTGCTGTTGGTGCTGCTGCAGCTGCTGCTTTTGGTGTTGCTGTTGCTGCTGCTCTTTCCGCTGATCCTGGTGTTGCTCGTGTTCCTGCTCCTGCTGCTCCTGCTGCTGCAGCTGCTGCTGCCCCATATGGTTGCGTCTGTGCAACCACACTCCTCTTTCACCGTCAAAACACATACCACCACTCATCCCTTCCATTCGTTCATGCATCCCCACCGTAACTTCACCCACTCCTCCCACACCATAACCCATAGTGCCGCCCATCATTCCCTTAGCTCCATCCATCCCCACACCCGCAGCCATGCCTGGAACCTTCCCGTACTGACACATCCCATCATGCACCATCCCACTTTGAATCATCCCATCATGACAATACGTGCCCTCATGGCCCATGCCTTGCCCCTGATACCCACGTGCTGTTTCTTCCTCCCCACTGTAGCTTTGCAGCGTTTCAAAACTGTACGGAAGAAGCTCTAAACGGGGATACATGTCTTCGTCCCCTACCCCTGAAGGTTCATCAACCCCCACCCCGTCAACAGCACCAGCCAGCCACCTCTCGACATCCACTGCTCCCAAAGAGCGCCTCTCCCTCCTCCTCCGCCTGCTTTCCTCCTCCCTGTCCTCCTCTCTCTTTCCTTCTCTCCTCTCGCCCCTCCTCCCTTTCTGCTCCCTCCTCCCTCCGCCCTCTCTCTCTCCCACCACTGCATCCCAGTCAAGGCTTCGGCTTGCTGGCAAACCCTTTCCTCGCCTCACACTCGCCTTACCCCCTTCCCCTCCTCCTCCTCCTCCTCCTCCTCCTCCTCCTCCTCCTCCTCCTCCTCCTCCTCCTCCTCCTCCTCCTCCTCCTCCTCCTCCTCCTCCTCCTCCTCCTCCTCCTCCTCCTCCTCCTCCTCCTCCTCCTCCTCCTCCTCCTCCTCCTCCTCCTCCTCCTCCTCCTCCTCCTCCTCCTCCTCCTCCTCCTCCTGCTCCTAACCCCATTCTTGCAACAGAATTGCCAGCGCCAGGAATCGAACCCAGATCCCTAATGCTCACCTCAATTGGACACCCAATCTCATCACTACTCCTAGACCTTACAGCTCTTCCCCCACCCACCCTCCCCCCCAAGGCTCCGTTATTTTCTCTTCCCTCCATTCTACCTCCGACTTTTTCTCCACCCACCCTTGCTCCTCCCCCTTTTGCTCCTTCCCCGTTCGCCCCTCCCCCATTCACTCTTCCCAGCCTCTGTTGGTTACCGCCTGAAGCGGCTGGGACCTTGGAAACAGGAAACATGAGTTGGCTTGCAGAATCAACCACCTGGAAGGTGCTTGGCTTGATAAGAGTCAGTTGAGTCGGTTGACTTGGATGGTTCAGCTGAGTTGGTTGACTCAGTTGACTTGGGTGAGCTAGTTGACTCGGTTGACTCAGTTGACCTGCGGTGTGGTCTGTGGAGGAGAGGCGAGGTTCTGTGAGGCACCCACTCAGGTGGTTCAAGTGTGGACCAACTTGATTCAGGAAGAAGCCCGATTGGCTCGACAAAGGGCTTAACAGATTTTGATAAGGGCCAGATTGACTGACATACGAACTCATTTGGTTGGAATAAGGGCTTAACTGATTCTGGTAAGGGCTCGACAGATTCTGGTAAAGGCTCGGCTGGTCTTGGTGAGGGCTTGACTGATCCTGGTAAGGACTCGAGTGATTCTGGTAAGGGCTTGGCTGATTCTGGTAAGGGCTCGGCTGATTCTGGTAAGTGCTCAGGTGATTCTGGTACGGGCTCGGCTGATTCTGGTAAGGACTCAACTGATTCTGGCAAGGACTTGACTGATTCTGGCAAGGACTTGACTGATTCTGGTAAGGGCTTGATTGATTCTGGTAAGGAGTCTGCTGCATGCCTGCTGAGAAAGAGCGGGAGCGAGAATGGCCTTTTTGGCCTACCAAAGGAGGGAGGCGGCTGGCAGAGGGAGGAGACGGAGAGGAGATGAGGAGGGGTGTGGAGGGGTGGGGATGGTGTGAACGAGAAGCAGAGACTCTAGACATTGAGGGCTGGGGTGAAGCGCTGCGACGCTTTGGGACAGGGGGCACTGGGGCCGCGTCAAGAGTGGAGGCTTGCGGGGAGATGCTGCGATGTCTTGGCACTGGAGGGACTGGGGCCACTGGAGGGACAGGGGGCACTGGAGGGACTGGGGGCACTGGAGAGACTGGGGGCACTGGAGAGACTGGGGGCACTGGAGAGACTGGGGGCACTGGAGAGACTGGGGGCACTGGAGGGACGTCAAGAGATGAGGATTGTGGGGAGACGGCACGCTGACCTGGCCCGGCTTGTGTGTAGCAGCAGGGGTCAGCTGGTTGGGAGCGACAACAAGGAGTGGCAGGTGCAGCAGAGAATTGTGATGTTGCCGTTCCCGTTTCTCTCACTGCTCCTGCCTTGCGGCGCGGGGTCACTGCCTTGCCCTTTGGGGTCACTGCCTTGCCAGTTGAAGTCCCTGCCTTGTCTTTCAGAGTCCCTGCCCTGCCTCGGGGGCTCATTGCCTTACCCTTTGGGGTCCCTGCTTTGCCTCTGGGCGTACCCCTGTTCCTTGGTGCACCCTCGCCCCCTGCAGCAGCGGTGGAGTGCGGTGAATGTAAAGCCCCAGCTTTTAGAGTCAACTTGGGAGTGGTGGAGTGCGGTGATCTAACAGACCGAACCTTGACAGTCGAGTCAGCAGAAGCAGAAGCAGAAGCAGCAGCAGCAGCAGCAGCAGCAGCAGCAGCAGCAGCAGCAGTGGCAGCAGCGGAGGAGCTTTCTGGTGCCTTCCCAACCCTCTCTCTCTCCCTCCCTCCCTTCTGCTCCCTACCAGCAAACTCCCTTCCGTCTACCTCTCTCCTCTGCTTCCCCATGACCTGTCGCCTCCCTGTTCCCAACCCCCTTGGCTCTGTCGCTTGTGTGACTGCTGCTGTTCCATCAGCAATTGAACCTGTCGTGCTGATACCTCCTGACCCTTCGCGTCCTCCCCGCCTTGCTCCTGCCACCCTCCCTCCTCCATTCTCCCCCACCTTGCCTCCCCCTTCCCCTGCGCGACCTGCTCCTTCCTCGCACTTTCTGCCGCTTTTGCCTCTGCTGCTGCTGTCGCTGCTGCCATTGCCACTGCACTTGCTGCTGCTACTCTTGCCTTTGACATCGCTTTTGCTTTTGCCAGCACTACCCGCAGCCTCATCCCCCTTCCCTGCCACCTTCATTCCCCCAGCAATCGCACTCACTCGAAGCCCAACCTCCTGCCTTCTCACCTTCCCTCCCAGCGCAATCTTGAGAGGCCGGGAGGAGGAAGAAGTGAGGGAGCGAGGCAGGAAGGCCAAGTTCTCTGTTTTCTGGTGGGGGCTTGAGTCCCCAGACGTCTCAAGGCTCCTCCTGAGTGCTGACTTGAGAGGCCGGGAGGAGGAGGAGGTGGTGAGGGAGCGAGGCAAGAAGGCAGGGTTTTCTGTTCTCTGGTGGGGGCTTGCGTTTCCAGACGTCTTCTGATGCTTCCTAAGAGCTGCCTTGAGAGGGCTGGAGGAGGAGGAGGTGGTGAGAGAGCGAGGTAAGAAGGTGGTTTTTTCGGATGCCTCTTGGTTCTTCCTCAGGGCTATTTTGAGGGGGCGGGAGGAGATGGCAGCTTGTGCTTTGCGACGCATCGAAACCGGGCGGGAGGTTGCGGAGGAGGTGAGGGATCGAGCAAAGGTGCTAACGCGCGAGAGGGTAAAGTCGATAGCACCCCTTGCAGCATTGACAGCACTGGCAGCATCAGCAGCACTGGTAGCACTGGCAGCACTGGCAGTACCGGCAGCAGTGGTGTTGCTACTGAGTCGTGTGGTTGAAGCACCGACTCTAACATGACTTCTTGTTGTAATGCCATCCCTGCTATCCCTGTCACTCGCATCATCACCATCACCATCACCATCCTCCTCCTCCTCTGCATCATCATCCTCACTACTACCATCATCATCAGCACTACCATCACTATCACCATCATCCTCATCATCCTCATCATCATCATCATCAACATCATCATCATCATCATCATCATCATCATCATCATCATCACCACCACCACTACCAAAATCTTCATCACTCCCATTAGCATCATCACCACCACCATCTGTGTCAGCACCAGTAGAACGACCTTCGCTACCACCTCCCACCGCTCTGCGCCGCCACCGCGGCAAGTCAACGAGGCTTTTTGATCGCAGGTTACGCAGAAATGGCGGCACGCTACCCAACACACTTGGCCGCCCATTGTCATGCACCTTAGCCCTTCGTATATCATCCGCTCCCCTCATCTTCCTCTCCTTTCTCTCGTGCCTCTCCTCCCATTCCTCTCTCTCCTCCCATTCCTCTCTCTCCTCCCATTCCTCCCTCTCCTCCCTCCTCTCCTGCCTCCCATCAGACATCTCCGCCCTTTGTTCCTCCTCTCCTTGTGCCATGTTCAAATTCATCCCCATCTTCTGCCCTCCTCTCTCCTCCTCCCAATCATCTGTCTGCATCGTCCCATTCCTCCCTTCTGAACCCCTCCGTTTAGAAACCCTCCCTTCTAATACCCTCCCTTCCCCTTCCCCTTTACTCCTCATCCCTCTACCATCCCGCCCCTTCCCTCTCACTCCACCCATCCCTCCTGCACCCCTCTCTATTGCTCCCTCAGAACCACAAAGCTCTGAATGCTCTTCTTCCTGCTTTCGCTGCCATTCCTGCTCTTCCTGTCTTCCTTGCTTGAACTGCCTTTGCTGCTTTTCCCCTGCCAACTCGGCCAAACTCCCAATACTATACCCTCGTTGCCTTCCCCTCCTCCTCCCCTCCTCCTTCTCACTCCAAACCTCCCCCTTCCCCTCCTCACTCCACCTCCCCCTCTCCCTCGCCCCACTCGCAACCCCACCATCACCTGATCCTCTCAACCCCCTGCTAGAGGACAGTTCTCGCCGTCCATCCAGCTTCAGGCTCCGCCGGCTACCCACACTCCTCTCCTCGCCGATCTTACTCTCCTCACCATCTCCCTCGCTACAACCATCCTCATTACAGTGGCTCTCATTATAGTCACTCCTGCTATTACCACCGCCGCCCCCTCGCCTCTGCTGCTTCGCACCATAACCTCCCTCGCCTTCCGAAACCATCCGCTGCTGTCTCTGCTCCAGTACCCTACGCTTCCCATCCTTCTCTCTCTCTTCCTCCCTCCCATACCTCGCTTCCCTCCCTTCCCTCCCTTCTCTCGTCCCCATCCCCCTCCTCTCTGCTCTCTCCTCACACTCCTCCTCATCAACCAGCCTTCTTCTCCCCTCTTCCCCTGCCCTCCCACCCTCTCCATCCCCCTCTCTCCTCCCCCCTCTCTCTCTCCTAAACGCGCAGATGCTTCCCACCAGCAGCGGCAGCTCGTCCTGCTGCACAGCAGTGCGTCTCAACCTTAGATCCACGATTCGACCGCACAACGCCCCTCCAGACCCACCTGCACCTCCTGCTGCCTTCCCCACCACCAGCGCCATCATCACTCCAACTGCTGCTGCTTCTGACGCTATTGCTGCTGCTGCTGCTGCAGCGGCGGCTGCTACTAGGGGAGGTTCCACCCACAGGGGCGAACCGGAACCTGAGGATGACGCTCTCTGTGACTCTATCGGGGGGCAGCGCCGCCACTGCTGCTTGCCAGTTCGCCATAGTCATCTTGCCGTTAGTCAACTCAAACACCGATCGTCCTACAAGCAATCGCTGCTGCTGCTGCTGCTGCGTCTGTCCCATCCCGCCATCCATGTCCTCCCTTGCACCTGGTGCAGCCTCCCTATTAGCGGCTTCGCTAGCAGCCAGAATCTGCCCAGTGGAAGCATCTAGTAAGAGAGACACACCCTTAGCCGTCTCGACGCGCATCCTGGCAGCAGCAGCGTTGGGCTCAAATCTAAGTACAGAGAGAACAGACTCATCCAAGGTTGCTGCTGCTGCTCCTGCTGCTGCTGTTGCTGCTTCTCCTCCTGCTGCTGCTGCTGCTGCTGTCGTTGCTGCCGTTGGGGGCGATGAAAAAAGGCTCCCCTGAGCTCCTGCTGATTCAATCCTGTTGCTGCTGCTGCTTTTCCTGCCTTTGACCGTCATGCTGATTCTCCTGCCACTTTGGCTCGGCAACGCAATCTCGACCGTTGGGTCAAGACTGGCCCGAAAATCCAACGGAGCAGACGTGACGGATTTGGAGCGCTGGTGGTGGTGGTGGAAGGAGACGGAATGTCGATTCCAAAGGCCGGCAAACTTGGTGGAATCGCGACTGTTAGTGGGACTGTCGGCGTTATTGTCTGTGCTGTCAATGCTAGTGTTTCGATTAGTGGTCGTGAGATTTGCCGCGCTGCTGCTGCTGCATTTCGCCTCTGGTGACGTGTCGGATCCTGATAGGTCAATGTAGCCTGCCCGACCCTCCGCCACTGACTTGCTCCGAAAATGCATTGCCTTATACTCGTTACTAGCAGCTTCCTTCAGGACTTGCTCGCCCGGTCGTCCGTCTCCCTTATTCTCTTCTGCCCTTCCATGAGCATCATCCCTAGAATCGGCACTCCCACGAGACCCAGTAGACGGGAATACCGCTCCTGTTGCCCCTAAAGCAGCCTTTCCGCCTGTCCCGAGAACCGCCCATAATTTTGTCATCCCCTGCTTCCCCGCTTCCGCCAAGGTCGACAGGTGCCAAGCGGCGTCCCCCCCCAGTCCCCTTCCGCCCATTCCCCCTCCCCCTTCCGCCTCGCGCAGCATCTGCTGCTGCTCTGCGCACTTGCGGAAAAGTCTGTCCAAGTCAACGGGAATGTCGATGCTGACGTCATCGTCCGCGTCGGCGGAAGCCGCGTTTGCGCTGGCGCCGGGCGCGTCAGGGTCTGCATCTAGCAGCGCATCCGCGGCGGAACTCTCGAGGTCGCTTGCGCGGAGACCCGGAACGACGGTGGCAGAGGCGGCGGCGCAAGGCACGGTGGGCCGGCCGGCTTTGTCGAGCTTGAGGCGACGACGACCGCCGGGAGCAGGGGAAAGAGGACCAGGAGCGTCGTCGCCAGGCGGTAACGTCGCGAGCGACAGCATATCGATTTTCTATGCGAATCAAAAGCCGACGACGACCGCCGGAAGCAGTTGACAAAGAGGACCGGAAGCGACGTCGCTAGCTCCTAGCGTCGCGAGCGACGGCATATGCGCTACATAAAGACTTATGAAGTGAGGGATTAATGCGAATGTTACCGCGAAGGGGGGAATGTAGAATCATTTTTGTACCTGATACCCGCTTGAGTTCCTAATACCCTGTTTTAAATCCTGGAAATCGAGCGAGACTCTTAGAGACTCATCCGACTGGCAATTTCTAGAAGGCTCTATTTTATTATGAACCACAACTAGGTCGGTCGACCTGACTAGTTCAGAGATCGCACGCTGATGTTGTTTCTCCTCTGCGAATCGAACCACACGATTTCTCGAACTGGAAAAAGGAGCCATGGCCTCGGCCCAGGAGAGCTGCAGCAAGTACAACAATGAACTTGAGGAGGTGGGGGACTGGAAGGCAAAATAGGCCTGTGGAGAATCTTCAAGCTCTCTCTACTGAATCAAAGGAATGTGGCTGGAAATAAGCTGCGTACAGTGTGAAACACAAGCAGGCAGCGCATCCCGAATATCATCCAGTTTTCCGTTCCCGATGAACCCGAGAATCATGACGCTGGACTGGGTGCGGGGTGGGGAAGTACTCGAGGAATGAGCGCCCGGACCTGAGAGCCCAAACCTGTGAGAGTTATCCAGACCAAATTATGGTTTGTGTCTGTCAAACCCAGTGCTTGCACTATCTGAGGGAGTGTTACTGTACATAAAATGATCGCCCTCGCCTCTGGGCACAACACGGCACTGGGCATGTTATGGCATGTGCAAAAGTGTACATAGGCTCAACCCGGCACTTCTCAGCCCGGTGGTAAACGCGCGCAAGAACTTAGTTTTTAGAAAGCAGATGCTTAGGACATGCAAAATGTCTCACATGCACCTTCGCGCTGTAATGCAGCCCGAAATGCTAAATTCTCACGCCAGGAACCTTGCCCAAACTAATCCAGAACTACCCCACGCCCCTGACTCCGAGAAAAAGTGTGGCAACGGCGGCAGGGAATGTCGCGAACGCGTGCCTTACAGTTGGGACCGCACATCATCAGGATACGTACGGGCTGTTGGTGGGGTCAGGAGGTACACCTGATGCTCACCCCATGCACGCGAAATTGCCTTACGCCGGATGGATACGCTGCACCCGAGGTTGTTTCCCCAGCCTCATGCACCTACATTACAAGCGCGTCGCGTGGTTATCAACCAATAGTAACGAACAGACCGAAGTCAAGCAGAATAGACTGAAGTCAAATATGGTAACAGATTTTGTACACAAGCACATGAGAATTTTAGCTAGCTGCGAATTGACGAAGCTTAGCGAAATGCCTCGTTACAGCTTATACGCCCCCTTCACAAGGCAACCGGGAGGGGCTCAAACAGGCATCAGGAGTTTGTGGGAACAATAAATCAGATCGCGGTTTCCACGTGCCCTACTTGGTCGACATGCGGCTGTAGATGTCTTAGGAAGCAAAACTTTGTTTCGGGTTTTGACGATGGTCTTTTGATGTACAGATAGCAGAAAAAAAAAAGAAAAAAAAAGGACACAGTAGTGCCAAAAACCAATCACATTGTTCTATGGAAGGCATGTCGCGTGGCAAAAATAAAACGTACCGCGATTCCACGGGATGGAGCAAAACTCTCCGTTCAAGTGGTTTTGAGTGTTTTCGCTCTAGCTATGAAGGTCGTTACGCATGGAGTCTAGATAGATGTTCCACAGAGAACACCTACTACTTTCCAGTGCTTCCCAGACACCGTACAAAGATTTTGGAGATACTCAGATCAGCTTCAAGGCTCCTGTGTTCTCACAAAAACTCAGCTGAATCACAGTGAAAATCAACTCTTTTCCATTCCTGCTACAACTGCCCTGCTCCATATCGCATGATGATACACGCATAGAGCTCAGCAGAAGCTCCAAGAAACAAGCTAGCAAAGCCATGGTGGCAGCAACAGAGGCAGCTGAAGAGGCGGAAGTAGTACACATGGCAGTGCGCGTTCCCGTAGGTATGGGGCGAGTTTACTTGAGGGGAATGAAGCGGGAGGAGTGAGTGGCACCAATACCGGGCCGACCGTGCTTCACGGGCTTGTAGCTCAGGGAGAACTCCGCCAGATAGTGCCCAATCATCTCAGGCTGTGCAATAGAGTGTCAAGCGGGAAGCAGGAGGACAAACAGTAAGCTTGATTTGTTTTGGGAAAATAAAAACAATAAGAGCAAAACCAAAAAGAAGAAAATCAGGACATGTGAAATATCTTCTTAGGGCAACGAATGCATAAGGGACATGCGACAGAAGCTCCTTGGGCAATGAAAGATCCACCCTCTTTTGAGCTCAACACCACGCCTCACACCCCCCACCCGTCACCTAGCATTCCCCTTTCCCAGCGCACGACCTTGATTTCAATCTGGTTGAGCACACAGCCGTTGTACACGCCGATGACGCTGCCAATCATCTCGACTCGACTCAAACGTCCCTGACACCGTGGATACCCTTCTACCCACCGCACCGCATCCCACCCCACCCCAGCGCACGCACCTTGATTTCGATCTGGTTGAAGACGCGGCCGTTGTACACGCCGATGACGCTGCCGATCATCTCGGGCACGATGATCATGTCGCGCAGGTGCGTGCGCACCGCCTCGGGCTTCTCACCCTCCTCCGCGTCGCGCTTCTGTTCGTGTCGAGGCACGAAATGGAATGGGGGAAGGATGTGGAGACGGGAGCGAAGGAGGGAGAAAGAGGGGAAAGTGCGAAAGAGTGGTTGAAGAAGCCAATGGCTATGTGGAAACAGAGTGTGCGTTCTGATAGGCCTTGTACAAGAGCACTGCTTCAAGCCTTCTTGCTTTGCTGACCTCCTTCCCATCCACCACCAGCTCAAGTGATCACGGTTTCCTATCTTAGTTGCTATCTCCAACCAGCCGTTACTTGTCACGCGCTCCCCGGCTTTCCAACTGCCACTCGTCAAGGCACTCCCACCACTGCCCACCTCCGACCAACCCACATTACTCCACTCCCAGCGCTCTCCACCCCCCACCACCCCTGACCACTAAACTCCCTCCAATCCCCATCCAAAACCCCACCTCACGCACTGCCCTTTCCGCCAGCTCTCTCCACCCTCAACCAGCCACAGCCCGCTGCTTCGAACGCGCGAGAGATTCCCCTCTCGACCTGACCAAGCCGCTGGTATGCCAGTTATTTCCGCAACACTCGAGTTTACGATATCACATTTTTACCCTGAAAATCCTTACCCCAGCCCCTCAGCCCACTCAAGAGCACCCACCGCCTTGCGAAGCTTCTTCATGAGAGCGAGCGGCTTCCTCTTGAGACCGCGGCGGAACCTGCACCGGGGGGGAATGGGTGGGCGGAGGGAGGGGAGGGGGGACGGCGGGGACGGGGGGCGCAACGTGGAAGGGAGGGAATGGAGGGTAGTGGGGAGGGAGGGGGAACGTGGGGGGAGGGAGGATGAGGGGCAAGGTCGAGAGAATCAACGACGCGAAATGACAAAATCGACATGAGGAAACGGAAACCCTTGGGAGGGGAAAAGAAAAATTGGCTGGGGAGGGTTGGGGGGGTGGGGTGGCGGGGGATGCTGGAGAACTGAACGATTAAAAAACAGAACACTTGACATGAGACCATCGCGACCAAGAAACCCACTGGAATGGCCGAAGCACAAAAGGCTAGGTTCGCCGCACTACCCCATCGTTTCCTCCCGTTGCAATCAAACATCCGTTTCAACTCAAATCGGCCTCTTCCTTAGGCATCAAATCCCAATGACGAAAGGAAAATCAGGCACTCCCGTTGAACACATCTGCGTCAGGCTCCCCTATCCTACTATGTCTGGGATTCAAACCTGCGGACCACGCGACCTCATTACCGTTCCGCTTCTGGTTATTGAGGTCCCCTTATTCCCCCAGCTCCCCTAATCCTCCTCGCCCTGCTTGCAAATGTGCCTGCCTGGCGAATCTTCGCTCTACACGTACACCGACGCTCGCATTCGCCCGCCTTCTCCCAGCTTCGCTGACCTTAGCCCACCGTCGGTCGCTATTTCTGATCCTGCTACGGTACACATGTGCCAATATCCGCTCCGCTACGCGCTCCTGCTCCTGGTTCAGAAACCGCACTCTTGCGCTGAGCCAGCAAAACGCACTCCTGCCCACTGCGTTCTCCTAAGCCTGACTCCCCTTACTTGCTCCCTCCGTTTTCCCAACACCAGGTCGAAACCGCCTCGCGCCACTCTAGTCAGCGAACTGTCCACCATAACAGATGTTCGCATACGAGAGCTCCAGTCTACTGTCTGGGGCCAGTATCATGCTCCAAGTATCGTCGAAATAGCCGATTGCAAGCTCTGCGACTAAAACTCCAGCTTAGCACCGAAATCGCCGCCGACAACACAGGCTCTAGCTTCATACGAGCTTGCGAGTGAATCGGTTACCAGCACTCGCGAAAAAAAAACATACCGTCTGCGAGCACGCGCGGTGAAGAGGTTGACGAGCTCCTCGTTGCCCATGTCGAGCAGCGCATCGAGGTCGATGCCTCGGAAGGTGAACTTCTTGAACGTGCGCTTCTTCGGCTGCACCTCCTCCGTGTCCGCCTGGACGCGCAACGGCGCGACATGGATAGTGAATAGGGAGGACAGACGCCGAGAGATGAGTTGTATAAAACCTGTTACCCGTCCTCTAAATTTACAAGAGATCTTCGGCTTCCGCCTAGATGGTACATGACACACCCACGTGACGTGACTTTTGAGTCGAGGGCACGTGCGACCGATCACGCAAAGACGTCAATATTAAACGGGCGAGATGGATTTGGAAAGAAGAAAATAAAAAACAGAATCGGGAGCAGTAAAAACCCTAATATATGGCTCCATCACGAATCGCAACCACTAACACCAAGCGACGAGCGTGCATACCATGTTGGATAGTTGACTAAGGAACGAGTAGAGCTACGGGGCTGAGAGAGAAGC